AATTTTAAATTGTTATTGATCCCTTTATCCCTGGTCCTAAAGGGTATGTTTATTTTCTTACTCTTCTTATATATATTGTTTGTTTACTTGCACTGCTGTAACTGGAGCCTCGTCGTCTCGACTCTGGACTGTATGCGGAGATGACAATAAAGTTTACTTTGACTTCAGCAGCGAGCAGGCGCACCGAGGGCTCTCGCCTCACTTTTCGTGTATAGAATTTCAAAAAAAACATCAGTGCAAATTATAAGTCTGTATCATAATGTCTGGTGTTTTCGTCTTTGTTGGTTTGTTTTTATTTTGTTTTATTTTGCGAGTTGGTTATTAGATGCTGCTCCAGCCGGTCAGAGAATCCCCCGCCGCCCCGCCCTCTCCTCCCTGCGCCGCAAGCAGCAGGTGCACCTCGCAAACGGAGGGCACCCTTACTCCCAGCAAATGGGCGATAGAAAACCGATCGGTGCCTATGCCATTCCCAATATGCGCTTGCTGACGTCGGGGCAGCATGAGTACGAGCATTTTCTTTTTTTTTTTTTTGCCGATGCCCATGATGCCGCCCCGGGCAACCGCCCGTGTCGCCTGTATCTAAAACCGCTACTGATCGCATCTCACCTCGCCTGTGTGCTTGTTCACGAGGTGGAAGACTGTCTCCTGTTTGGGATCCCAGTAGATTCCATCACTCAGAGCCTTCCCTCTTAATTTACATGTGACTATCTTCAGCAGGTCCATCTTGACTGGCTGCTCGATGAACACCACGTAGTTCTCAGACATGGCTGGAAGCAGGAAGAAAAAGATTACCAAGCTTTGCAGATGAGGGTAGCAAATGGAAAAAAAAAACAAGCATAATGAGTGGTACCCTGGTGTGCTGCCTTACCAAAGCTGTGGTAGTAGGAGGGATGGGACTTGTTTGCAGGCACAATAGAACAGAGGATTTTGGCTCCTTGCAGAGTGTCTTCGCTTTCCGTCTTCTCAGGAGGTACTCTGATGATATTGTAGAGGACTCCTGGAAGGAGAAGTGTTTTACAAAAAATTGTTCCATCCATTTTCCATCCATCCTCTTCAGCTTATCTAATTCAGAGTTGCTGAGGAAGGGGGAGCTGGAGCCTATCCCAACTGTCATGTGTGAGAGGCAGGGTACGCCCTGTACCGTTTGCCAGTCTGTTGCAAGGATAACAGAGACAGACAACTAGTGATGTCTATGGCCAATTTAGAATCAACCTAATTAACCCAACCCAGTTAATCTAATGTGCATGTCTGTGGACTCTGGGAGGAAGCTGGAATGCCTGGAGAGGCAGAGATGACGCACTTTCCACAGAAAGTGGATTTGAATCCAGACACTTGCTGTGATTTGACACTGCTAACTGCTGCACCTCCTTTCTTCCAACAAAGTACAGTTCATTTCTTTTTTTCTAAATCAAGATAAAAAATAAAAATAAATAAATAAATTTTAAAAAGCCATGTAACTGTGCAGACTTTAGTGTGGATACTTGACTCAAGGAACAAACCTCTTCTTCCATAGGAGTTGCCCATGTTGTAGGTGGTACCATCTGGATCATAGTGGGGGTGAGCAGTGGCTCCATTTACTGCAATGAACTTACTCCAGTCCACCTGCAAAACAACAGAATGATAAGGATGTATACTATGTTTATACCAGACTACACAATGACAAAGAAATGCGTTTACTGCACATAACAAATGACATTACCTTCTCTAAAGTTTCTAGGGTCTCTGGGTTCACTCTGTGCATGAAGTTTGTCTCTGTGCTGACATAGTAGTCCCCTTTGTATTTCACAAAGCTCACACTTGCATTGTCTGTGGGTTCTGTAGCAAAGACAAATAAAGGATGGCATGTTTTTTTAGGACTGAAAGCTTTTCTCCTTTTAAAGAAATTGGTCTGCTATACGATTTACAGTTTGTAGTTATACTGGAGGGTCCAGTGGGAATGTAAAACATTTTATGCTCCCCCTGGTTCCCCACTGTAAACTTGGGTATATACAGAACACTTAAGAAGCTCCATCCCAGGAGGATTTAGCAAAGCAAAGTTATAAACTTGATTTTATCTCTAGCTGTCGTGGCTCTTCTGCTTTTTTAAATTAACTGCAGCAGAAAACCTGCTTTTTGATCCATTATGCACATATACTTGATCCCACTGTCTTATTTACTCACCAAACTTCTCAAAGCGAGAAAGGAATCGCTGGAAGAAGTTTTTACAGGGGTCGGGCATGGCAAGCGTGCCAAACTCAGACATTATGATCCGGTCCCGCTCGCTGTTCTTTTTGAAGGTATCGCTCTGCAGGAACCGACTCATGTACGTCACCTCACCTCTCTCAATCTTGAACTGGTGCAGCATGGCCATCCCATCAAACCAATGGTTGTAGCTGTCATGAAACACAGATGTTAAGGCTCGACTCCATTGTTATAGAAATGTTCATTTTGTGCTTTGCAGCAGGTCTTTATAACTCACTGTGTTTCTCCAAACTCAAACTTCCCAGGGCCATTGCGGAGGAGTTTGCCATTGATCCAGGAGGGAATGGTTCCCTCTAATTTGGTAGCTACTGGCTCAGGGGTCTCTTCAACAGAGCGGACCAGGGCAGCAATTGTCTCCAGCCCCTTCAGTACCTTGCCATTGTGGGCATTTTTTGCCTGATCTGAACCCAAATGAAAGAATGGACAGAAATTACCTTTCTTTAGTGCAACTTTTGCTTTACACTTCTTACAGTTGGACAATATTTCCCTTTTACTTAGTAACTGCTGTAAACAACATTTCTGGCAACCCAAGTATAAACTTTACTTTACTGGCAGTTCTGCATGCAGCTCAATAAATTAAGAAAAAATAAGGAATGAAAACAAGCACTCAGGGTCTGTGCCACATTAGAGCTCTTTAGTTGCCCAAGCTTTGCTTCTGAGCAGAGTTTAAACACATTTGGCTTGGTAAGTTTTACGTAACACTGTTTGTCCTTCTGTCAGCATCTCGGGGATATAAAAAAATAAAAATAAAATAAACGACTCCCCAACTTTCACCTTGATTAAGAAACATTTAAAACCTGCCATTACTTTTTCAAGTGTGCATTTACTTGTCTTTAAAAGGTCGTTCATTTAAGTGTCACAGCTACTAAAACATAAAATATAAAGTATAAAATAACAGTGACATTGAAATCTGCTGTTCTAGTTTAGGGTGGTCCTTTGTTTCAGAAAAGCTACAATAAACAGCTCAGTGCCCTGCTGAGATCTTTAGGGAGAACCCCGTTTAACCACCGCTTCAGATCCTCAGTGAAAAAGTCACCAACTGCTTCTCTGACTCCAGTGTTAAAGACGCATGACTTAAATTATTCACAACAGTCAGCTGTACTGTTACCATCCACCCCTGCCACTACTGACAGGGAAGGGCTTCATTTTTACAAAAGCAAAAGCACATGATTGTTTAAACAACAGTATATTCTGGAGATCCACTCAGAGAAATTACAATGTACAAAAGTTTCATTTCTGGAGTTTGAGACAATGACAAACATGTCGCTTTAAGCTTGTTTATCCAAATACACCCAGTGCTGTACTACTGGGTGACAAATTAAAGAAAAACCTTGAATAAATCGGTGTTGAAACGATTAGTTTGATGTGGAGGGAAATTTTCTGCTATAAGTTATGGCTAATTATATTTGGCCTACAGCAGACGGGCTGTTACAAAATCCCCATAAACGTGGCGGTTGTGCTGTAAACAGCTAAGCAGCAGATATCCAAGTCTCCGATTACAGCCTCAGTTCTACTCTGTTTTCTGGTAGTGCAATGCCTGCCGAGTTTTTCATATCCACCGGCCTGTGAAATTAAATCCACACATGCCAACGTGAGGCTGAAAGAACACTCTGTACTGATATTACTCTACATACAGTCACAACCGCCCATCACCGCGCTCAACAGTCCAGCTGATTTATAGAGATGCAAATATGATAAATGCGATTTCATCAAGTGCGCTTCAAATGCTCGTGGCTTGTAAAACGTGCAGCTTCCTGTAAGTTATGAAACCAGCAGCGCATCGTTCTGTGCAATCTGAACTGTATTACTGTACAGTATTCACAACAAGGAGGAAGCTTACCTGCACGCTCGAGCTTCACAGATGACATGACAGCTGGTGGATGCAGTTCCTGATTTCTATATCCGTGTCCTGCTAGACCACAGAAACCCACTAGTGTGCGTGGAGCTGCGACAGCCGCCTGCAGCGATAAACTGCGTTATGTAAGCTATAAGAGAGAGAGAGAGAGTGAAAGAGAGAGGGAGAGTGAAAGAGAGAGGGAGAGAGTCACTTGTGCCTGCCTGGGCTTGCAGTCACACACGGTGCTAACAAAACAGAGGTTATGAAATAAGGTAGGCAGAAAAAAAAGAATAAACATTTACAACAGCAGCTACATACAGGCCTATACAATCATAAGCTACACCTGCTTTAAACCACGTGGTGTGCTAACAGGTGATTTTCCAGGTTTCTATGTTGTATGTCTAACATCTTTGCTTAGGGGCCATGTGACACATCAAACTTATTGGTAATGTCACAAGAAAAACAATGGTGTGCTTGGTTTCAACGTAACTTTATGAATCAGGACTCCAAAACTTTACTTTACAGTTATGGGTTGCCGATCACTTTATTCCTACATTTATGTGTATCTATAACATTATATATATAGTTTTTGGTCAACTTGTAAAACAGATCACTCTCATTACTCTGCAGAAAACACTGGTGAAAACACAGAAGTACGCAATTAAATCAAGAAGAAATGTAGAGATAATAAATTTAAAATATTTAAGTGTGCAGAACTGTAAAAATGGAGTAAAGGAATTTAACTTATGCTAATTCAGCTACTAGCGCTTAAATGTGTATCATTTGTATGCTTGTTTTGTGTCTGTTCATTTATTTATGGTCACATAGTTTTATTCTCTAAAATCTGCATACTTATCGCTAGCATTTGTTTTCAGCTGCACATAGATGACTGTATTGCTCTTTAACTGTCTCAAGTAGACAACCAGCAGCCAGAGAGCTGTCCATATGGGCTCTGTGCGTCTATCCAGATAATCTTTGTTGGAGGATTAAGACCGGAGCAGGAAGACATTCAACACGACCTGCATTTGTCCAAAGAGAGTCCTTTAACCTTTCAGGTAATGTGTGTTTTTCTGCTTCATAGCCTAAACTAATAGAAATCCACTGTTAGTAGGCTACGGGCTAGCTGCATATAATAGGTGAGCTTCACTGACCTCTGCTCTGACCTCAGCTGCTGCTAGCCCACAGTACTTTTGTAAACACGCTCTGGATTTCTCTCGAGGTTTGACTGTTATGCGAAATATAGAAAGCAGAAAAAAGTTCAACAACAGGCAATACTCAGTTCAGTTCAGTTCAGTTCATTTTTATTTCAAACATTTCAAACATGTGCCTTCACAATCATTACAAAATATCATTCCATTATTTGTTTGAAAAGGAGTAGGCTGAAGTATTTACTTATTTGTCCCTACCCCCTCAAGTTTTACCTCTCATTCATTTAATTTTTTTTTTTTTTGTCATACTCGCTGTCCATTAAAGTTTATATCAATTTACTGTTGACATGGAAGAAAGTCCACTGACATGATACTGTAACAGATGGTGCATTCAAGCGTAATTACATTGTCACGGGGCAGTTAATGGAGTAGAACATTATACTCCATACAAACAACATAATAGGTTTATAGCTGTCATATGGACCTTTTGCTTCCAAATGACTTCGGACGTTATCTGATCATTTTTTATTATTCTCATGAAGGCAGTAAATATAAAACAGTCTCTCAGTAGAAGGGATTTTGCTGGAACTGTAATTTTGTTGGGTCAGTGTTTTGAATCCAGTACAGCACTGCAGGCCATCTAAATTTTAACATGTATAATGGTCAGTTGAATTAAATCACACGTCCTCCAAATTCTGTGGGCCATTTACAGTAAACGCAACACAACTTCTGCCTATGTCATATCAGGTGTGGTGTTTTATTAATTTTCTATAAAAACACAAAGAAAAACATCACCTTAAAAAAATGCTAAATTATTGTTCTAATTCCCTGCATATTCCGGTTTTACCGTTTTAATTATGAGGATTTAGATGCTTATCTCTGTGGAGGCTTCCTAGTTCTTTTCTTTTTTCTCTTTTTGGATTTTAATTTACAAAAAAAGTCTCAAATAAAAAAAGGAAATTTGTAAAATAAAACTTGAGGGAAATAGATTACATTATAATGCATATATTTGTTAATGGAAGGCCTATAAAGGGATATGCAAAAGCCCCATCATAGACACAAACACTGTGTAAACATAGATCTGAGTGAGAGTTGTAGCTGGCTGGCTTTATCATGTGAGAATTGAAGCCATTAAACCAGGGATGGGGAACTCCAGGCCTTAAATGCTGGTGTCCTGCAGGTTTTAGATCTCACCCTGGGTCAACACACCTGAATCAAATGATTAAATGGTAAATGGCCTGTATTTATATAGCGCTTTACTAGTCCCTAAGGACCCCAAAGCGCTTTACATATCCAGTCATCCACACATTCACACACACATTCACACACTGGTGATGGCAGCTACATTGTAGCCACAGCCACCCTGGGGCGCACTGACAGAGGCGAGGCTGCCAAACATTAGCGCCACTGGGCCCTCTGACCACCACCAGTAGGCAACGGGTGAAGTGTCTTGCCCAAGGACACAACGACCAAGACTGTCCAAGCCGGGGCTCGAACCGGCAACCTTCCGATTACAAGGCGAACTGCCAACTCTTGAGCCACGATCGCCCACGATTAGTTCATTGGCAACCCTCTGGAGAATTTAAAGACATGTTGAGGAAGTAATTTAGCCATTTAAATCAGCTGTGTTGGATCGAGGACACATCTAAAACCTGCAGGACTTCGGCCCTTAACGCCTGGAGTTCCCCCGCCCCTGCATTAAACAGTTACCGGTATACTGAAATTTAGTCATTACTATAATGTTCTTATTGCTTGTTATTTAACAGTATATGCATTTTTTTTTTCAACAGGACAAATCCCCACTGCCGATCATAATGTCTTTATTGGATTTTCTTGGGCAGGGGAAGCTGTTGGGGGTCGGAGTTCTGCTGGTGTGGCTCGTCCTCTTCCACCTTCTTGTTAATGTTTGGCTCCTTTGCGTCTTCACCAGTCTCCTGGTAGTTCTCGGAGGTTGGCTTGGGTCACGGGCTCTGCTGGATGCCAACAGCGTTCTCCACCTGGAGCACTTCTTGCCTCTTGGCAACATTAACCCACCTCAGTATTCACCTGAGCACGAGTGGAGATTGAACCATGAGATCCACAGCGCTGTCCACAAAGCAGTGCGTGACTTTGTGTCCTCGTGGTATCGCACTCTGCTGCCCGAGGTGGAGGGCGAGTTTGAGCGTGCGGTGCGTAATTCGATGCTGGAGTCAGTGATGGAACTGAAGGAGCGTGCCCGGCGAGTGGACAGAAAGGTCATGGTTCAGCGGTTGCTGGAGGTGTACGGGGGTCACCTGCAGAACTACATGACAGTAAGACAGATACAGTCAACACAAAAGGGAAGCATGAGCCTCTGGCAGCTCTACAGTGAAGTAGACACCCCTCATCCAGCTGTGAGCAGCAAAGCTGCTGAGCTCAGCTACTCCAGAGCTCTAGTTCACCTTGTACTACACGTGCTGGTTCCATACCCACAGATGGAAACCAGGACAGGAGGTTACATGGTTACAGAACTTATTACCTGCAACGTGCTGCTACCGCTCATAACCAGGATATCCGATCCTGACTGGCTCAACCAGACCATTGTAGACATACTTACCAGATGCAGAGAACCACACCAGGAAATCAACGTAGATGACCTCCCAGTAGATCCCCTATACAAATGTCAGATCGACCAGGAGTCCTGGGCCACCTGCATGTCACTGTCTTCTTCCGATCAAGCTGGTCTCGCCAGCAAAAGCGCCTCTGACCTTGATGACCTGAATGAGAGCCGGAGCACGACGGAGCAGACTGAGTCCTCACTGAGCAGCATGGTTAGCTTGGCGTCAGCTGGGAAATTTCAAAGCTGCCGCCCAGGTCTGCTCACATCATACAAAGTGAACTGCTGTCCGCTTACATCTGCCCATCACTCCAACTCGTCAGAGTCCAAAATAATTTCACTGGACTCGCTAACTCAGTCTGACTCGGATGATGATCTGAAAGGAGGCTTTTGCGAGTGTGGTCCTTCAAACAACTTCTGCAGCATGCTCACTTCTAAAGATGTTGAAGCCTATGGATGCTTCGGTCCACTGAGAAATCTAGGACAGAAGGTGGTGGTGCCGGTGGACTCCCAGTGGCCAGCAGGCATAGCTGAAGAGAAATCTCCAGGTTGCCCTAGAAGAAAGCTTTGTTTACCCTCTTATAACTTGGATTCCCCCAGCAATGCAGTGGCACCTGTGAACATCCAGAATGTCAGAATTGGTGGCACCGTCACCGCAAAAGACCAGCGTGGCACCGGCATACATCCCTATATTCTTTACACTGTAAAGGTACAGTCATGTCACAGCCTGGTACAATGAAGCTGTCTTATGAAATTGGATTATTGATGATTGCATACTGCACCCCTCTTTCTGTTTAACAGTTTCAGACAGCGACCAGTGATGGCAGCGCCACTCCACAGCATGCGGCCTGTCACGCTGTCAATCGCAGATACAGCGAGTTCCTCAACTTGCAGACACGATTAGAGGAGAAGCCTGAAATGAAGAAATTAATCAAGAGTAAGACATCGTCCTCTGCTTTAAGACATCACCAAACCCTAGTAGTCCAAGAAGAGATGCCACGTTTATTTATTTATTGCATTTCAGATGTCAAGGGCCCAAAGAGGATTTTCCCTGATCTCTCATTCAGCAGTCCAGACGGTGAGAAGGTTGAAGTGCGTAAAAGCCAGCTGGATGCCTTCCTAAAAGTAAGCATTGGGATTATAACTTTTGCATTTGCAGGGTTCTGACGTTTGTTCTTGTGGTATAATTTTTATTGTTTTCTAGCAATTAAGCAGCATTCCTGAGATAGCCAACAACGAAGACATGCAGGAGTTCCTAGCTCTCAATTCAGGTGTCTGTACATATTTTGGAAGAAAACCTTTTGCCAAGTCAAGAATTGATAAGGTAGGAACAAGCTAACAGAAAATTAAACCAATAAGTAGTTGCATTTTGTGAAATTTACTCCATTACTCCCCTGCGAGAGTTAAGTAAGAAGTTTTATGCCTTGTTCTTGAGCATGGAGTTGGACCTTTTGTGAAAATGTGTAAAGAAATTCCACATTGTAATACTCAAGAACGCACAAAATAGAGAAGAATAAATACTCAAGAAGCTAATCATGTTCAGAATGAGACAAAAACTGGATGCTTTTTCTTTCTTTTTTCTACAACTTGAATTTAATTATCTCACATATGTTTGATTGATTGAAAGATGATGGAAAATGCTTTGGACACTTTGAAGACAGCTTTCCCACATCCAGAACCCCTCAGCCCAACAGAGGACATTGATGGAGATCCTGATGGAAGAACAATGGACAACAGAAAATACAGGTAAGAGCTCTATCTGCCTGATACCAGTCTTCACACACATTCAAATCTACTTTGCTTCCTTATTATCAATTCGGTGAGTTAATTCTCAGCTTCTTTCATGTTGGATTTAATTCACTTATTTTTGTAACACGGGGATTCCTGTTTTGTGTTCTGTGCTTCAGGAGGCTTTTCCCAAGCAAAATCTCCCCAGCCTTCAATATACCCAACATTCCTGATCTACATCCTAAAGTGACATACTGCTTCAGTGAAGGCAGCACTGTAAGTTATTATTCCTCATGAACTATCAACACAAACATGTTTCAGACTAATGTGGGAGAGCGTTGACATTTTCTTCAGAAATCATTTGCTTATTCTGATTTTCTAGGTCCTCAATGGCATGTCACTGTCCCACCTTGAGAATTTTGTTGGTGAGCAGGAAACACTGTTATGTGGACTGAATGGGAAAGAGAACAAGCAGAGGTGTGAGCAAGATGTGAAGAAGACTTCAGGGAAAACTCACGGCACAGGTTGAGTTTGTCTGAAGTAGATTTATCCACATTGGCAAGATGCACTGACACAGTTTTACCACATGGGTGCAGCAAAACCCAATGTCTGTGGTGGCTTTAGCTGAGCAGTAGACGATTTGCAGCAATAGGGCACAAACACATTTTGGAGACTTTTTGAATCCACATTTAGTAAGAATGTTTTTTTTTACTTGCAGTGGAAAATCTTGACCTCAGCATCTATTAATAGATATTTCTCATTAAAAATTTTTTGGTTGATTGTTTATTAACAACACAAAGGTAACTCCATGTTTTTGCCCACTACCACTAATGGTGTGTTCTGCCTTTACAAGTAGTCAAATATTTTTTTAATTCATTTGTGAAGATTCCCATCCTTGTGCTGAAATAAATGTATAATTAATGTATAATTAATGGGGGTTTGTGTGTGTGTGTGTGTGTGTGTGTGCGTGTGTGTGCGCGCGTGTGCGTGTGCGTGCTGCAGACACAGCTGTGGCAGATGTCGCTTTGAACATCTTGTGTTTGCTGATGAAGGATCAGTGGAGTTGGCTGTGCACTGAGAACATCCAGAAGGCCATCAGACTGCTCTTCGGGACTTTCATCGAGAGGTAAGAGTTCCTCCGCATCTGCAGCTGTTTGTGAACTGTTGTTCCTGATTTACTTACACTGTAAGTAAATCAGGAACAATTTACTTGCACTGTAAGTAAATCAGGAGTGAAGACAAAATCAACAATGACTTATGCCATAAGTCATTGCTAACCCATCCTTCCGCTCAAATGAGCTTGGAATAGTTAAAGGGAGCATTTTGGGAAACCACTACAAGGTAGAGGCTTTCCTTGGAGAAGGGGGCTTTGGTATTGTAGCCAAATGCCGTGATACCAAAACCAACCGAGCTGTGGCTATTAAGGTGAACAAGAACGACCCTGATATTCTGCAACAGGCAAAACTGGAAATTTTCATCCTGGAGCAGCTGAGAAGGTTGGATCCAGATGCCGCCAACATTGTTCAATGGAACGGCTTTTTCCACGACGGAGAGCGTGTTTGCCTGAAATTTGAACTCCTAGACCAATGCCTGTGGGACTACATACAGGACCCGAATAATCGGCGTCTCCCCATAAGCGAAGTCAGGCCAATTTTAGGTCAACTCACAAATGCTCTGTCCCACCTGGGTTCTGTGGGAATAGTGCACGCTGACCTCAAACCTGGAAACATCATGGTTGTAAATCGCTATGAGTCTCCAGTCAAAGTCAGACTTATAGACTTTGGCCTCGCATGTCCTGCGTCTGCAGTGATGCCTGGTGACCGTGTGGGGACAGTTGGTTATAGTGCACCTGAGGTTATGCTTGGCCTTCCTTATAACGAAGCAAGTGACATGTGGTCTCTGGAGCTGGTGGCTGTGGAGCTTGGTACAGGGGTGCCACTCTACCCTGGAAAAAAATATTATGATGTTTTGAAATTCATCATAGAGATTCAGGGTCAGCCGCCAGATCATGTTCTCGATCCTGGCGTGTACACTGAAGACTATTTCACAAAAGACAACTACAACCAACAACGCTGGACATTTAAGACCGCTCAACAATTTAAATACGAGACAGGATATGAATCTTTGGAGACAAGATACATAAAACTGACACGTCTGGATGACCTCGAACAAATAATGCTGTTTAGACGAGGACCAGAAGATGGCCAACGCTTATTTGTCAGCCTAATTAAAGAGATGTTGGCCTTGGATGCACACCAGCGGATAACACCCTCTCAGGTTCTCCGGCATCCCTTTTTCAACCCTGGCCTCTCCAACAGGTTCCCAAGTATCAACACTGAAAAACCATACAGAGTCAATCTCCAGCATGGCATCTTCCACCCTGGACAAAAGTGATAAAAACACAAACTGGGGTTGGAAAAGGATATTAACAGCAAATTACACTGGAAATATTAATTAAGCTGCTCCAATAATTATCACTTTGGCTTTTTTTTTTTTTTTTTTTTTTAATTTTCACTCCCCCCACCCCAACCAGTCGCGGCAGATGACTGTCCCTTCCTGAGGCTGGTTCTGTCGAAGGTTTCTTCCTTTTTAAAGGGAGTTTTTCCTTCCCACTGTCGCTAAATGCTTGCTCATAGGGAATCTTCTGATTGCTGGGGTGGCCAAAACTCTAGGGGAAGTAGCAATTCTTGTGAAAATTAAAAAAAAAAAAAGGGCTACCAATATTCAAAGCAGAGCAGCGGACACCTTACCATCACATCAGTCCTTTAATCCAACCTAAAACACCATGTTTACAGAAATAAATTCCATACAAATTGGAAATAAATTGTTGTTTTTGATTGTTTATAAATATATAGTGCTACCCTTCAGCCTCCTAGTAGACATACCTGTGTTATAAATGTGAAACTCCTCCGATTTTCAGAAAAGTTTACCTCTGACCTTGAAGTCAAGGTCACTGAGATTTAAGCTTCACAGAGATTTTCAGTAGATGCAACCATGGTATTGATTTGAAAAATCTACACAATCACAAACTTGGATGTCCACAGCGCCTCGCCATATACCAAAGATTAACCCTTGTGTGGTGTTCGTATTTTTGTTACTCAGCCAGTGTTCATGGGTCTGGTGGACCCGCTAGAGTTTTGGCTTTCCAAATTAACACTATCAAACAATTTTATGTTAAATTACTCAACAGATGTTTACTTCATCCCAATTACAAGACATGTGAACAGCAAACATGGTTAATTTTTTCCCTTTACCTTTGTTAGATCACATTTATGAATTAATGTGCTTCTCGTTTTTCTTTTATATAAAATGTTATAAATAAATCAGTTATAATCAAGTGGAGTGAGTGGAAAGACACAACACATTTACACGTGAAAAAATAATTAATTGTTTAATTTTTCTTTTGAAAAAAACTGAACACGGGTCTCACAGACCCGAACACCATACAAGGGTTAAGAGGGTTTTTTTTTCTAGGTTTTTATAAAGATTACAAAACACAAATAACAAAAATGCCAACGCTATTGTCATTTTTGACAACGCTATTTTGATGTTGTCTAATGTAGTGCAAAAAAACAAAACAAACCCAAAATTTAGTAAATAAAGTAAATAAGGTATATACTACATAGTATACAACATTTTAGTGGTCCACAATGGGGTCAATGAACAGAATGAAGGAAGTAAGTCTTTTATATGACAATGGTGTGAAAAAGCGTTTTCCTATTTATTTGTATGTTTGTCACACTTAAACATTTCAGATCATCAAACATTTTTTTTCTTTTTTATGTAAAAAGAAAAATCCTTTAACTGTCCAGTTTTCTTGATGTTATGATGCTTCTACCACTGGTTTGTCATTAATATTTTATTGTCTTAGTGTGTTAAAGATTCTAGTTCTTATTCTGGTCAAACTGTGCTTCATTATTTGTTTACAGCACAGCTACAGTTCCAGGTGACTTCAAGTCAAAAGGATACTACATGTCAATGGCCAGCAGCCTGTATTCAGTTTGAATATTGCAGTACATGTACCTGGATCTGTTTCTATTGGGTTGTGAATTTAGTCTCACTGTTACATCCAACTTTTAGAGTGGGATAAAGACAAAAAGAAACAAGAGAGAATGGATTTGTAGTTAGAAATCCAAAGTTGCTTCTGTTTTGCCCACACACATTGATGATGATTTCACATCGTAAGCAGGTTATCAAATGTGGACAGAATGTTAGCAGTATAATCAAATACTTAATCTTGATGGCATTACCTTGGCCTCGAGTAACACTGTGACGAATCTTGGAGCCATTTCTGAACAGGATATGTCACTCAACTCACACATTAAACAAATCTCTAGGACTGTTTCACTTCATCTGAGCAATATTGTCAAATTTAGAAACATCCTGTGAGAGTGAGACAGAAAAATGACTTTGAGATTGTTACTTCTAGAGTGGGTTACTGTAAACAGGTAAAATCTCCCTGAAAAACCTTCAGTTCAAAGGCCACAGTGAGAGTGCTAACATATCAGCTTCTCTTGATTTGCTGCCTGTTAAAACCACAACTTAATTCAAAATTCTTCTCTTTGAATAGAAAATCCTGAATGATCATCATACTGTATGGGTAGAGTTTCTTAAAGTAGAATGGGAGGCTGAGCCTTCGACTATCAGGCTCTTCTCCTGTGGAACCAGCTCCCAGTTAGGGATCAGGAGACTGACACTCTCTCTACCTGGAACACGAAACTTCAACTTGATAAAACTTATACCTCAGGTGACTCTGCTAGAGGACTTTTCTGGTGTTTGTCTACTCTCTGCCATAGTTTGTGTGATGTCCTTTTGGTTGTTCGCAGTCTTTGTACTGTCATTCTGTTATTTACATTCCAGGAAAAAATATTGAATTTTTATTCATTACAATAAATCACAGCAAGGCCTCAACAGTTGGCTATGGGGTCTATTTTGTGAGCAGGTGACATATTTACAGTCATTTATTTTTCCTTCATTCAGCCAGATCTAGAGGGCACAAGGACAGGTTAGTGGTGGTTAGTTGGATTTTAATGGTGCACGATCTTCTCTCCGATTGTCTTTCAGGAGTTTTTTAGCACACACACATAAATGTTATGGGTTTTTGTGCTTTACTTGCTAAACTAAATAACTACTGGACCCACTTTACCACATGGTGTGTGGGAAATGGGCTTTTCCTACCCCTAATGTTATGCTATCATTAAATGGTCATACTGGTCACAACTTTTGGCTTGATATCTGCCTCTGGGACCTCACTTCTGGCTTAAGGTTCATGTTTTGCATTCTCCTGTAATTGCTTAAAGCACGCTTTTTCATGAGCTTGCATTTAATTCCCCATCTGTCTGTTTGACACACTGGCACATGTCCTGAACATGGACGCACTCACTAAAGTATTGAACTGATTTCTGTATCAGATGGTTGGATGTAGGTGTCGCCCACCTTACCAGTGCTCCTTGCTGGGTGATTTACCTACAAGTGCTGCAGGAAGCTGTATGGCCCGGTGGCACTCTGCCTGCTCAACCACAGCCTGAGCGAAGTGCTGCACAAAAGGAGAAAACAAAGGAGCAATGTTTGGACTGCCTGATGCAGCTGCTCCCAGGTGAATAACAGCTGTTCAAATCAGATTACTGCTGTTAAATGCTGCCCTGATTTTCATAGCTTCTGACAGTATGTTTCACTGTTTGTGTCTGAGCAGAGCTCATCACTGACATGCTGGGTAATGAGAAGTACAGACTGAGTTTGGAGACTATGCTGGAGTCTTTGCAGGACCACCAGATAAACAAGTGAGTCAGCAACCAAACAGCAAGCTAACAAGAAACAGAAACTGTATCAGTGCTGGTCTCTGATTATCACTAAACAGTACAACCACAATGTTAATGTTTCAGATAGAACTGCAAACTCCTCTTACCTTTCATATTTATACTATTATATCATCCATCTAAGAATGTCATTTTCCTGATGTCTTTTTCCTACATCTGTGTTTTTCTGCAGGCATCTGCTTTACTGCATCTGTGACCTGCTGCTGGAATTTCTGATCCCCGAGTCGTGTGATGAGAACTTCCAGCATTCTCTGCTACAGAGCTTGACCAAAGACACATATTGAGACAACAATGATCGTCATTAGTTTACAAAAATCTGCCTGCTGAAGCCCAGAACTGATCACCAGACAGACTCGGGTCTGAATGACAGTCACGACTCTCAGCAGCTTGTCTGATAGATAAATGGAATACACAGGTAAACAAATATCTGTCATTCAGTTGTGGCGAGCTCAGTGTACTTATATAATTCCTATCATTATTTCATGATCATTTCAACTTCCCATATGTGTGATAGACTTATCACTTATCCCATTATCATAAAACAAGCTTGAGCTTCCATTTCAGCTTATAAAAAGTGTTAGGTATTTTAGCACTACGGTTAGCATTTACAGGATATTGTTTTATAGTGACATTATGCAGGAAAACTCTGTCATTCAATAAGGCCCCTTTGTTTTAGTTATTTTTCTCTTTGACCCAAGAATTGATGTGTGAGAATCACAGGCTGGTACAAGGTTGAAATACCACAGAGATCACTCCCTCAGCTACATTAGTTTCTTAATCTTTTAGACGCCTGTTGAGGCCAAATGGTTTGTTTCAGATTTCACTAATGTAAGAACTCTTTGTTTTGTGCCTTGAAAATATGTTGCTGAGATAATCACAATTGTAGCTGAACTACACAAAGGATGCTTCTTCACCCAAGGGCAGGAAGACGCTCCCTTATCTTGGTCTGTACTGGTTTAAACTGATAAATCTGCTGTCTCATGAATTTGTCCCTCTATATAAACTGTTGTACTTGTGAATAAAGTTGAGTCAATTTGGGAAGACAACCTGAAGCAGTCTCTGTTTTCTTGTTCTCCCAAGCTGCTCCCGAGCTCGTACTAACACGCTGAATGGCATGCTTGAATATTACTTGAGAATATATTTGACTGTGTTACAGACTAATGGACATTCTCTGCTGATAGGTGAAGGTACATTCTCTGCTGATAGACGTCCACGCCTCGGAGGAAGCCGATCCACGGAGTAGGCCCTGGAAACCGTTTCCTTCAAAAAGTTTGCATCCAAGTAAAATACCATGTACTGTATTTGTCCTCCTCCTCCATTTCTTTACTTTTCAAGTTAAATCTGTTAACGTTTCAGACAGTGTCCCACATTATCCCAAACATACCTACTCTTTTGCCCCATTTTTAGTCTTTTGGGGAGTGATAAGATGATTAGGTGATGCATCGTTGGTGGAAGCAGTTCATGGAGATGCAGCTTGTCTTATACTTGTGCAGGATGTGACGTATTCATAAAAGCCTGTAGTCAATGGAGTCCACAGGGTAATGGCACAACAAAGCGGCATCAATCACGCAGATTAATGAGAAAAAAGACTGATCCTGGCTTCATATTTATATCATCACGCAAACTGACGTCTGGTTAACATGTCACCCAGTTAAACTCATTTTTTTGGCTCTTGGGCTCTTTTATCTTGATGCATTCATTTATTCTGATGTGGTTGTAAATCGTGCACATTCCTACTTTGGAGCCTGGTAAGTTCACAGGTGGCATGAGTGCATATGTTCATGATATCTACCTGAAGTATGATCTTCAGATGTAGAACTCGACAGATCGCCGGGGCTTGAAAGGAAATGAAGGAGGCTCTTCCAGGATTTTATATAAAGTTTTATTCTGTCTTTTGTCGCCCTTTATCTAATGACTGCCAGAGGTCTCACTGTGCTTCTCAGTGCAATTAGTGCCTTCAGCTGAGCCCTCTGACATCTGTGAGTGAAATCAGCAGTGTGAAGGATTTGCTCAGATGAAAGCTGGGGCTGAACTTCAGACAGGTGTACTGACTGAGTCAATAAATGTTTGAAGTTGAGAGCACTGTTGGGGAATCCCCCTGTCTTCAACACAAAGAGTGAACTTTAGCCGTCACAAAGAGGATTTTGTGCTAGTTTTCTTTGATTACTCCTCTGTGTCAGGTAACTTATTCACATAATCCAGCTCTTCTCACACATTCTTTCACTGTACAAACACTATTTGTGTGAAAGGAGTTAAAAATCGACTGATTTCATAAATAAGTGTGTATAAGTATTGTGTTTTAGTCTTCCCATGATCTTTTGATCCGGAGAGCAGTTAAAAAAATACCAATTTCTTCACAGCCAAATTCCGTGATGAGGGATAAATTAACTGCATGATTTACAAAACCGCTTTATGTTTTGCTTGAATGGTAAATTGAAAAAACGTAAGGAAAAGCACTCTTTTTATAGAGTGCTTCCATATGGCAACATAATTTTATTAAATATGGATGGCTAATATAGTGTGTGTTTGTGAGTATCTTTATTTCATTGAGGGGAAAAAAAATCTGCATCACTTGGTATCTGCATGCACTCTGTACTTGAACTGAAAGATTTATTATCCGTGTTAAGCACGACAGGGTAACAGGGTCACTGGTGGCTGGTACTCAGACAACTGTCAAGCATCCTTAAATATTCAGTATGGCAGCCTATTGCAAAGAATCTCTGAAACACTGAAATAATTACAATCAGTTCAAAGAGGGTGTTTGTCTGTAAAAAGAAAAAAAAATCTGGCAGTTCTGTCATGGTGATTGACAAAGTCTCAAAAATGCGCACTCTTCCCTGCTCTGCAATTATCTCTTCCAATGTAAAACACTTTTCTATCAATTTAGTGTGTTTCCAGCAGAATAATCCTGTAACACACACAAGGTTTATAAAGCTTTAAGACCACAGTGTGAGCAAAAGTTGTATATTGGATGCGCACAGATCCAACAACAGGGGAGTTGTTCACATATGCTCACATATAAACTGTCAGTCGTCGGGGTGTAAATCCACTCCTATTGTTTCCACTTGCTGGTCAGCAGGACTTCATAAAGTTAATATTAGGAACATTTAGCACATCTCACTTCCTTTCTTATGAGATCATGGTCTGATACTGGTGGGGCCCCACCTCCTGTCTCATGCTTTGGGACTTGTTTGTGACTGGAAACCAGGGGGGATTAAATGCTTAAACTGAACTGCTGGTGGCCACATATGAGTGGGAACAGCTGTATTTTAACCACAAATTGCTTAGTGCAACAAATACCCACGGAAGTTCACAACTTAGATCCATTACAGGAATTGCTGAATCATTCCAAATAAGCATTATTATTCATTTAAAGTATATTGTAAAATATTGTGATTTTATCTGATAAAAATCATCCCCCCACCCTTAGAGTTTTTTAATTTTTAGTGAAAACAGTGAAATTTGTTGTGCACAGTTGTAGGCTTCCTTGGGGTGACTGGTAAAATCTTCATTAGATGTTCCTCAGGTCAATGTGTCCAATGCTTTGGTTAATGAAACTGTGAGGAACATGGCGAGTGAAGGCCAGTATGCTCTGATCCAACAGATGAGCTACTGTTACACAAATTGCTGAAAAAGTTCATTCTGGTTGTGGTAGACATTATCAGAATACACACTGCACTTTGTTGGGTATGAGGTTGCATAGGGATAATAATGTACACTTTTATTGATCCCCGTGGGGAAATTCTTCTCTGCATTTAACCCATTCACTCAGTGAAGCAGTGGGCAGCCACTAATGCAGCGCCCGGGGAGCAGCGTGTGGGGATGGTACCTTGCTCAGGAGTACCTCAGGGTAGCTGTTCAGGGGATTCGAACCCCTGACCTTCTGATCATGGGGCAACCGCTTTTACCTACTGAGCTATCACTGCCCCTCTGGATCTGGACCACAGCTTGGGTCCTGCCATTCACCTGGATGTTACTTTGACACATACCATCTACCTAAACGTTGTTAGAGACCATGTGCATCCTTTCATGGAAGCTGAATTCCCTGACAGCTGTAGCCTCTTCCAGCAGGATGAATATGCCCTGTCACAAAGACAAAAGAAGCACAACAACCTGAAGAGTTGACCAAATTCCACAGCTCTCAATCCAATCAAATATCTGGGCAATGTGGTGAACAATCAAGTCCAATTCATGGAGGCCCCACAACTTACAGGACTTACAGGATCTGTTGCTAACTTCTTAGTGCCAGATACCACAGCACATGTTCAGGGTCTAGTGAAGTCCATGCTTCAATGTTTTAGGCTTGTTTTGATAGCAAAAGAGGGACTGCCACAATATTAGGCATGTGGTCATAATGTCATGATCAGTGTTTGATCGTAAATGTTGTGTAGGACGTCTGTTTTGGCACAATTTAGGCTCATTAGAACCAACTGAGTACAACTTGAATACCACAGCCTACCTGAGTATTGTTGCTGACCATGTCCATCCCTATAAACCACTGTGGTCAATGTCACAAATTTCAAATAATCTCAAAATAGTTTCTTGAACATGACATTGAGTTCACTGTACTCGAGTTGCATCCACAGTCACCAGATCTCAATCCAATAGAGCACCGTTAGGTAGTGGTGGAGCAGATGATTAACACCATGCACGTGCAGCAGTGTGATAGTATCTTGTCAATATGGACCAAAAGGAATGTTTCAAGGACCTTGTTGAATCTATGCCACGAAAAATTAACAGTTCTGAAGGCAAAAGGAGGTAGAAGCTGGTACCAGCAAGGTGTACCTAAGAAAGAAGCCGTGAGTTTCATATCAGTAACACGATGATAATGACAATAGTATTAAACTAGTTTCATTATAATTCACCATGGTCCCAAACAGCAGATGTTCTTTATGAGTTTGCAATAGTTGTGACATGAGGCATGACCAACCACAGCTAAGAAAGTGTCAGAAAAGCCCAGCAGCTGCTGAAGCATCATGAACTGTCTCAGTTTTACAGTGGAATGTCAGTGTTGTAATGATTAATGTACAGTCTCATGGACATTTGTGCAAACATTCCACATGTAGTGATTATTCACAGCAGGTGAATACGACCAGCTAACAAATGTGTTTCCTGACCTTTAAGCTAATACTTTGTTTTCAAACTCAATCTGTAATTAAAATCAGCATTCTTGTGAAATCTTTGTACACCACTCCTTTTGCCATTTTCCCGTACATCCAATGACGTAAGAATACGTCTTGTATGACACAGAATTTAATCTTTTGGCGTGAGCAAGCCTAACTGCTGATTGTAGTACGTGACCTTGCAATAAAGCCAATCTGGTTCCTGTTAGTGGTGTGTCCTCTGCTGCACAGTGCAGATGTGCAGTGTAGCCTTTAAGGAACTCTTACACCCCACACCCTGCCCTACTTCCATCTACTTAGAAAAAAAAAACCTGTGTTCTCAAAAAGAATTGCATTTGCTATATGACTTTATCCAGTAGCAATTCTACTGCCTGTACTCCACCCCTTTTCTAGTTTATTTGATTATTTGACCAGTAGAAGGAAAGACGTTGCATGGAAGTGGGCATAGTGGTAGGCAACAATGCTGTGAATGCATTTCTGAGACTATAAACTTAAAACAGGCTAAAAAGGAGAAATATGATACGATGGATAAGGGAAAAGTGAAG